AGTAAAAAACAATTAAAAAAAAAAAAATTCCAGTATATATACCGCCATTTTTAAACGCTATAACTTTCACATAAACCAATTAATTTATGCGTATTGGGATTTTTTTTTTTTTTAGCAAAGACTTAAATTTATGACGAAATTTGATTTTTTTAAAAATTTTTACTGGACATGTTTAATAGCAAAAAATATAGTTTTTTTTCTCAAAATTGTCTGTATTTTTTTGTTTATAGCATAAAAAATAAAAATGCACAAGCAACCAAATACCGCTGAAAGAAAGCTCTATTTGTGGGGAAAAAAAGGACGTAAATTTCATTTGGGTGCAGTGTTGCATGACCACGCAATTGTTAGTTAAAGTAACGCAGCGCCGTATCGCAAAAAATGGCCTGGTCAGGAAGGGGGGTAAATCCTCTGGAGGGCAAGTGGTTAATATAATCACATGCATGATATGTGTTTTGTTTTGGTTTCAAATGTCACATAAGACAGCACTCTTAAATGTATGGTTGGTTTATTGTTTGTTACCCAGATAATTGGAAGAAAAAAATCACTGTCCTTTGGAAGTGACATCTTTCCCACCAGCTACCCCAAAACTTGGGAAAAAGTATTCTAAACCTGTATCCTTACATGGCTCCAAGGTCTGAGTTGAGAGTCTAGGCACACAGAGGTGGAGCACCTGGTTATATGGTCATCATGAATGAAAATAAAGAACTCTTTATTTTCACATACTCTATGTGCACACAGATTTATATATACGTGTATATATATATATATATATATATATATATAGTGAGGAACAGAAGTATTTGAACACCCTGCGATTTTGCAAGTTCTCCCACTTAGAAATCATGGAGGTGTCTGAAATTCACATTGTAGGTGCATTCCCACTCTGAGAGACATAATTTAAAAAAGAATTCAGGAAATCACATTGTATGATTTTTAAAGAATGTATTTGTCTTGCACTACTGAACATAAGTATTTGAACACCTAAGAAACAGCAAGAATTCTGCCACTCAAAGACCTGTTACTGTGCCTTTAAAAAGTCCACCTCTACTCCACTCATTAATCTAACTTAGCTGCACTTGTCTGAGCTCTTTAAAGACACCTGTCCACCCCACAGTCAGTCAGACGCCAACTACTACCATGGGCAAGACCAAAGAGCTGTAAAAAGACACCAGAGACAAAATTGTGGACCTCCACAATGCTGGAAAGGGCTACGGGGCAATTGCCAAGCAGCTTGGTGAAAATAGATCAACTGTTGGAGCAATTGTTAGAAAATGGAAGAGGCTAAAGACGACTGTCAGTCTCCCTCGCACTGGGGCTCCATGCAAGATCTCACCTCGTGGGGTATCACTGATGATAAGAAAGGTGAGGAATCAGCCCAGAACTACAAGGGAGGAGCTGGTCAATGACATGAAGAGAGCTGGGACCACAGTTTCAAAGGTCACTGTCGGTAGAACACTACACCGTCATGGTTTCAAATCATACATTGCACGGAAGGTTCCCCTGCTCTCAAGTCATCACATGTCCAGGCCCGTCTGAAGTTTGCCAATAACCATCTGGATGATCCAGAGGAGGCATGGGAGAAAGTCATATGGTCAGATGAGACCAAAGTAGAACTTTTTGGTCTAAACTTCACTCGTCGTGTTTGGAGGAAAAAGAAGGACGAGTTGCATCCCAAAAACACCATCCCTACTGTGAAGCATAGGGGTGGTAACATCATGCTTTGGGGGTGCTTTTCTGCGAAGGGGACAGGACGACTGCACTGTATTAAGGAGAGGATGAATGGGGCCATTTATTGTGAGATTTTGAGCAACAACCTCCTTCCCTCAGTCAGAGCATTGAAGATGGGTCGTGGCTGGGTCTTCCAACATGACAAGGACCCGAAGCACACAGCCAGGATAACCAAGGAGTGGCTCCGTAAGAAGCATATCAAGGTTCTGGAGTGGCCTAGCCAGTCTCCAGACCTAAATCCAATAGAACATCTTTGGAGGGAGCTGAAACTCTGTGTTGCTCAGCGACAGCCCCGAAACCTGACAGATCTAGAGGAGATCTGTGTGGAGGAGTGGGCCAAAATCACTGTTGCAGTGTGTGCAAACCTGGTCAAGAACTACAGGAAACGTTTGACCTCTGTAATTGCAAACAAAGGCTTCTGTACCAAATATTAACACTGATTTTCTCAGGTGTTAAAATACTTATGTTCAGCAGTGCAAGACAAATACATTCTTAAAAATCATACAATGTGATTTCCTGAATTTTTTTTTTTAATTCTGTCTCTCAGAGTGGGAATGCACCTACAATGTGAATTTCAGACCCCTCAATGATTTCTAAGTGGGAGAACTTGCAAAATCGCAGGGTGTCCAAATACTTCTGTTCCTCACTGTATATATATATATATATATATATATATATATATATATATATATATATATTGCTGTTGAAAGCTGCTGCAGTGCTGGAGGTGTGGCATTACTTACTTTCATTTATATATACATATTGGTGCCAGGTTACTTCCTTGAAACACAGGTATTGTGGTATTAGTTACTCTATAACATATTTATTTTCACAATTGTGTATAGTTGTTTCTTTATATGCATATTGTTGTTAAGAATTTCTGGGGCTCTGGATTTATGGTAGCACTTACCTTATCACAATTTTATTTTTTCATATTGGTGTCGATATAATTGTTTTAGCCTCTGTATCACTCACAAATGTTTGTGCCAACATTTTGTTGAAAGTTTTTTCTGTATTTATATATTGTTTACACTTTTAGAGCAGTGCCATACCAGTAAATTTTAAAAGCTATATAAGGTTTGATGTGGGAACACTTTTAAAGTGCTACAAAACCCAGGACCCTGCATTTACTATATCTGGTCTTCCACAGTACTCACAACATGGAAAACGCAATTATTTTATTAAATATATACTGCTAAATACTTTTTCTCATCAGCAGTCAGAGCAGTCTTGTGACTTCTATCAGTTTCCAGCAGAACACTGGTTAAAGCTTGTAGGAGGAGTTTTCATTCTCACCTGATTGTCCTTTGAGGCTGCATAATCCCAGATTGTCTGTCTGGACAGTGCTGATTGGCCCTGTTCTGATCACATGCACTCTCCCAAGGAAAAAAAAAACCTTTCTAGCAATACACGCCAAACTGAGCATGTGCAGCTTGCCCCCAAGGCTCTGTTCTATCAGCAGATGGATTGGGAACACTAGAAGAAGAATCAGAGAAGACGCGATCAAATATCCTTTTTACACAACGCGGAGGATTAACCCCTTAGGTTCCACAGTGAGTATAACAAGCATGCTTTACTGCATATAAAGACTGATTTAACTATTGTGAGTTTTGTAACACTTCAAGGTTTTAGCAGCAACTTGGTTAGTTGATGAGTGAGGATAGTGATCTTACAAGTGGCAGCACAGGAGTACTATCCATACATCACTTTACACTAACAACTTGAAATGTATAACTGCTGCAAATACAAGATAATCCCATAAGGATGTGAGGACATAGCCCTTACAGAGTATACAATAAGGATTGATTTAGAATAAATACAGGGTACTAAAGCAGGTCTACTTTTATTTATTCCATTACCACTGAATGTTTATATTCCAGGATGTTAGCTCTCAGGAAACCTTGAGGTCTGTCTGAAAAAAACATAGGAGACATCAATGCAAAGTCAAATGTTTGTAAATTATTTCCTTTTTCACTTGATTGCAAAATGCGTTGCTTAGAAACGGTCTGCTTAGAACATGAGCCAAGGAAACTTCACCTGATAATGCACAGATCATTTCTTAGCACTGTTCAGGCAAATTATAAAGAAAATGTAAAACCTTCTCAGGCATATCTGACAATAGAAGTCAGGGAAGGAATATAATCAAATCTGTTGACAATAGGCTGTGCATCTGCTGGGCCCAGAGGCACACAATCACATTTTACCTGCGGCGACTGAGCAATTGCAGACACATGGGATGTTGTGTCTAAGCAATCATTCAACAGCTGTGACCTCCTCGGCAACAAGCAAAGCGAGCCCCAGCAGTTTTTTTCGGTGGCCATACTGGACAATGAAACTGCCTGTATAAGATTAACCACTTGCCCTCCAGAGGATTTACTCCCCTTCCTGACCAGGCCATTGCAACGCTGCACCCAAATGAAATTTACGTCCTTTTCCCCCATTTTGCCCCATTTTACCCCATTTTGGGGTAGCTGGAGGGGAAGATGTCACTTCCAAAGGACAGTGATTTTTCTTCCATTTATCTGGGTAACAAACAATATACAATATACAGTCATACAGTTAAGAGTGCTGCCTTATGTGCAGGGGCGGACTGACCATTTGGAAATTTGGGCACTGCCCGAGGGCCAGGGGTCAGTAGGGGGCCCCATGAGATGCCCCTGGTACCTTTTTCATAGGCTTTTTTGAGTTTGGGCAAGGACACAGGGGCCCCATGATCCCCTATTACCCGGGGGCCCCATGAGTTGTCAGTCCGCCCCTGCTTATGTGACATTTGAAACCAAAGCAAAAAAAAAAAACACATATCATGCATGTGATTATATTAACCACTTGCCCTCCAGAGGATTTACCTCCCTCCTGACCAGGTCATTTTTTGCGATACGGCGCTGCGTTACTTTAACTGACAATTGCGCGGTCATGCAACACTGCACCCAAATTAAATTTAGGTAATTTTTCCCCCACAAACAGTGCTTTCTTTTGCTGGTATTTGATTGCCTGTGCGGTTTTTATTTTTTTGTGCTATAAACAAAAAAAAAACGACAATTTTGAAAGAAAAACAATATTTTTGACTTTTTGCTATTAAACATGTCCAAAAAAAAAAACTTTAAAAATCAAATTTCATCATAAATGTAGGCCAAAATGTATTCTGCTACATGTCTTTGCTAAAAAAAAAATCCCAATACATGTGTAAATTAATTGGTTTACGTGAAAGTCATAGCATTTACAAGTGGCGGTATATATACTGGATTTTTTTTTTTGCGAGTAATAGTGCCGATCAGTGATTTATAGCGCGACTGCGGCGGGCATTCTGACACTGGGGGGAACTGACTTGGTGTCACTGACATCCTCAGTGACACCAATACAGTGATCAGTGCTAATAAAAAGCACTGACACTGTACTAATGGCACTGGACAGGAAGGGGTTAACATGAGGGGTGATCAAAGGGTTAACTGTGTGCTGGGTGTGTTTTACTATGTGGGCTGTGTGTGTGTTTTATTGCAAGTACATAGCAAGTTTCATGGCTGCTATCCAGAGCCATACAAAGTAGTGTGCAGGAGCAGACAGGAGAGAGATCTGTATGGTTTACATACAGGTCTCTCCCCCATTGGAAACCCTCGGAGATCGCCGGGTGCCGGCGGGGAATTACTGACAGGGACCCAGTGATTGACAGCCGAGGCCGCAAATGGCAGCATGTATATATACGTGATTTTGCGCACCCGTGCCACCCTGTAACAGTGGTTCTGCTATAGGGCAGCACGGAAGCAGTTAATTGAAAACATTAGTAAATACAGTGCCTTGAAAAAGTATTCATACCACTTGAAATTTTCCTCATTTTGTCATGTTATAACCAAAAATATAAATGTATTTTATGGGGATTTTATGTGATAGACCAACACAAAGTAGCACATACAGTATGCTTTATAAGGCTTTGTTCACACTTCTGTGCGTACGTTGGAGTGCATGTTTCCATGGGGGTGCCATCAAAGAAGTAATGGTACTGCTGTGCATCTGCTAAAGGGCAGTGCGCTTCTGTGCTCCTTGTAAAATGCTCACAATTTGCGCACGCTCTCAACCCACACTAGTGTGAACCTAGCTTAAGATAACAACTGACTATATATGCTGTATATACTGCATATACCTGCATACAGTATTTGCAATACCATTGCACAGAACAGGTAAGTATAATATGTTTTTTATTTTCCCCAAAAATTTTTTAAAAAAGCCTTTACTACCACTTTAATGCCCCTGTGAGCCCTTATGTGTCACAGGCCTAGGCAAGGGGCCCCTTGATGGCAACAAAACATCACTTTTTTGTGTCAAATAAAAGCTCATAATGAGCATCAAGATGTGCTCGTGACACCTGTAGTTTATTGGACATTGACAATGGTAAGACACTACATCAGCTATTCGTGAAAGACATTGGGTACATAATGTTTCCCAAATACTGAACAGCAGAGAAACAAATCTCATAAGAGCTATGTGACAGACCTTTGACAGGCATAGAAAACTTTTAGCCAATTTGCTGTTTGCTCTGGGGGCATTTGTGTGTGCTCACTCCCGAGCCACCTCTGTGTCCATTAAACTCACAGAGCGTGGCTCGGCCCTGCTCCCTCCCTCCCTGTAATTGATAGCAGAGGGAGCCAATGAAGAGAGAGAGACCCAGGAGATCTTCAGCTCTCATGCACATCACTGGATTGGAATGGGGCTCAAGTAAGTATAAGGGGGGGGGGGCTTGGGGGGAAGATGCACTCATACACACATAGAATGCGTAAAGGTAAAAAACCTGCTGCCCTTACAACGACTTTAATGGAAATTTAATAGGAAAATGTCACTGCAGTATCATTCACCCTAGGGTGCCCCATCCTTCCAGAAAGAACCAGCCTGCCATGCAGGCAGGGATCACCTTAGCAAAGGAGCTATCATATTTTAAAGTAATAGGAACACACACAGAATGAATGCATTGTACCAGATTATCCAGGAGAAAGCACCACAGGAAAAGGGAGGGTTGTATTCTACCCCATATATGATGTAGAGCTACCCCGTAAGGGGCCACTGTAATTTATTCAGTTTGTTCCCAAGATTAGTTCAGAGGCAGCCAGGCAAACAGCAACATTTCACTCATTCTGGCTCAATGATCAGTCTAGGGGATGTCTTATTGCTGTTCCATTGTTGAGGAACTTTGATAGGGTGTAGGTTAGTATGGGATTCACTAAATATTTATAGGACAACATTTCACGTTCCCAAATCTCTCTGGGCAGTCTTTATACAGGAACAAGTGGGGATAGCAGACAATGAGCACCTTCTTAGAAGCTGTTCCAAGCAGGAATACTATTGATTTATCCACCCAGGGGATACCGCCCACAGTCACAAAAGCCCTGGTCTCAGGTCAGTACTCACAATGTCACAAGATCACCGGATGCCTCCTTCCAGTATTCACTGGACACCCTTCAGCAAGAGAGGTTAGGTGGATCCCTTTGAGAACGTGTGTGCGCAGGAAACACATCAGAGAGGAGCCTACGTGCTGGCGTCACGCCGCCGTGTCCACGTGATGTTCCAGCGGCCATCTTTGTAAGTGCTTTTTATCCATTGATGATTTTATGCTCCATGTAGTTGATATCTTTTTAATAAAACATACTACACTAGATGATACTGTCTCCGAGCTCGGTCTATGAGCGTGCCCTCTAGGAGGAATCCCTTTCCTTGGTTCACCATGGGCTGGAGATGGAGACTTAGCTACTCTACTTGTGATTGTTCATTTAGTGTATCACTGGCTTCTGGAGAGATCCCACCTTCAACTGGGTCACCGGCAGGAGGAACAAGCAGGAACACCCCCCTTAGTGTCATTCTACTCTGGGCTTGCTTGCTTCTTACTTCTGATGAGTGCATGATGATGGAGGTGCAGTGCGGAAGTCACAGAAGTCACTACATTTTGTTGATTTGATCACATCACTATTTTTGGGACTATTATGATATTTAGAGGACTTATATAGTTTAATTTGTTATTTGTTATACCATTTATTTTGTTTCTTCATTGGAGTATTCACTATTCTCTGTTTCTTTTTTATGATATTTCCTTTCTCTTTTATTATCACACTGGTCATCATTGATTATAACACATATGTTTATTAGTGCTGCACATTGATATTATAGTGTTTTGTTTTGGTGGAGACAGATCGTTTGCCACGTTGTGCTAGCTGCTTTACTTTTTTCTTTTTTGTCTTGTGCTCACCATTTATTCTTTGATTAAGAGAGGTTAGTGCTCACAATGCCACAGAATCACCGGATACTTCCTACCAGTACCCATTTCAGTGAGCTCTCCAGACCAGGTTCCAGGTAAAGATTCCCTGACTAGCTCCAAACATGTATCCTCGTAAATAGGCCCCCAGCTAGGATGAAGAAAGAAGGCTAAACTCAGATTAGCTGCTGCTGCAGGTGGGGGTGGATTCCCTTATGCTTCTTTAGCCACCTTCTAGGCACACCTACCCAGAGATAGGCTGGAGCAATAATTATTGGGCTCCATGCACACTGGGCGTTTTAATAACGCTGGTAACGTTAGCTGTGTAAAGTCACATTAAAAATTTGAGTTTTTCAGCATTTTTTAGCATCTTTGTATTAGTGTTTAGCAGCGTTTTGCCACATTTTTTCGCATTTGCGTTTTTAGAGGTTTTTGTGACCAGAAAACATTTTTTTGGATCAAAAAAAGTCCAAAAACACTGGTTTGCCGCAATTTACCGCATTTTGCTCCGTTTTTTAAGTGTTAGAGTTTTTCCAGTTAAATAATTCCTATAGAAACCCACTAGTCCTGTTTTTTTTTTTCCAGCCAAAAAATGCCCCTGCCAAAAAACGTTGATTACAGTCTATGTGCGCATGGACACATAGGATAACATGCTGGGGGGGGGGGGGTACTGGCTGTAGAAAAAAATGTCAAAAGCCAAAAACAGCCACTGTAAAAACATCCAGTGTGAATGAGGACTTCAGGCTGCCCGTTTGATTGCACAACCTTCAACGTTACAGAAGCCTCTGGAAGGCAGGGGATAGCAATCAAATCTGCAGCCTGTGAGATCCAGAGCAGACAAAACTGATCAACAACTGCTCCAATGAGCACAGAACTTAATTTGCCTAACAGACTAAATAGGAGGGTGCTGCAATGATTTCCTCTGAACCTGCAGATAGGCATCAACAGCAGACACACAAGTTATCCATTTCAGTATGTAGACTTTTTATTGCGTATTTTACATTGTATCATCAGGTAAAGCAGCAGATCAATACAAGTAAACACAAATGGCGATAGCTTGTACAACTGGCCAAAAAATCAAGTTTTGTACGAACAGAAAAAAATAATTCTATAGCACATATGATATCATATATGCATGTAGTAATGTTAGAAATGTGGTATTGTAGCAGAAATTCCTCATGGTAGTATGGGCTATTTATAATAACAGCAAAAAAGGAGCACAATATACAGTATAAAAATGACAAGCCTTGGTGTCTCTTTTTATTACTGCTCCCTTTATTACACAGAGTCTCAAAGGCAGCTTTTGTACAGTCAATTCTTGGTTGCAATACCTTCACCCATATATATTATATAGCTAACTTATGTCCTTTGTGGTTTGTAGCTGCCTTGTGACACATGCCTGAACTTGATGATTTGCTAAACATATCTAGCACTTCTTTCAGTCATTAAGAAGTGAGACTTTAAGAGATGCTCTTTATTAAAGGCCCATTTACGCCTATGCATTTTATCTCACATAAGTGCATAGACAGAGGTTTGCAATTTTTTTATGTTTTTTGTTCACATGCTGTATATACGTTGCATTGACATGCCTTGGCCAAAACAGCTCATGTCCATTTTCCCATCTGCTGACACATTGAAGCCAGCCTATGGGCCTATGCCTACTTATTTATTTTTGCACAGGTAAAAACATGAATTTTACGGCATGAAAATGCATTGTAAGTAGGGATCTTCTTCTCTGCAAGGTGACTGGTTCACCACTAGTGCTGCAGTTAGGTATGGTTTAAAAAGGAAACTGTAAGAGCCCCTTCACATCCTTAAGTGTGCCCATTGGTCGACTGACCATTTGAAACTCGGGCACTGCCCGAGGGCCCGGGGTCAGTAGGGGGCCCCATGAGATGCCCCTGGTACCTTTTTCATAGGCTTTTTTGAGTTTGGGCAAGGACACAGGGGCCCCATGATCCCCTATTGCCCGGGGGCCCCATGAGTTGTCAGTCCGCCCCTGAGTGTGCCTTAGGCTCCATTCACACTTGACAATGGGTCTGTTTGCGTTAGCAATGGGAGACCTAGTGGGGGGTTCCCTGTTATTGGCTGTGGACAGGAAGCCCCATTTAAAGCAATAGAGGGTGACAGCTACAACAGCTACTCACAGCCAATTGCATGTAATCACTCCTGCAGGGATTGCCTGCGGATGATTGTCCTTTGGATGCAGACAGTATGCACAGACTTGCAATTGGCCATAAATACCTGCAGAAGTTGTCAGCCTCCCATTGCACCCCAGCTGGATCTCCCACAGCTAACAGCAAATGGCACCATGTGCAAATGTGAATGGGGCCTAACAAACACACACTGTAATGCTCTAAGCCTGGGTTCACATATATGCGGTGCAGTATATCGCATGTGATTCCCACAGGAACCGCACCACATTAGTGTGCGGTGCAATTGGAGACATACATTTTGTAT